TATATATATATCCAGTAGATAGAAAGATAGATAGATAGATAGACACAATCCTTCCAGAGTATTGTGATGATTAATAGTAGGAAGGTGGCAATTTTGATGCATTTCACAAAACTGCATCTACTTCCTCAGAACATATGGGATAGTCTCTAAAAACAATATCACACTAATATATACAAATATATTGACAATAATAATTATATATAATACATTTACATTCTTCAGTTATACATAAATGAATACTTAGACATTAGGTCACTCACAATATGGTGCCATCCTAGGGTAAATCTGTATCCCATTGGAGACTGCAGGGGGTAAAAACAAGCTGCACATGATCTGGTGGCACTAATTGCCAATTACTGAATATAGCAATATTATAAATATCCTCAGACTCCAATGTTCCCACCATTATGAATGCACATTATAATAAGGAACTTCTTACTACCTTGGTATTTTATTCTAAGAGATTTATCATCATATATTCAGATTGAAGTGACCAATAAGAGATAACTAATAATCAATATTTATGTCTGTCAAATCACGTCTCAAACTGCAATTAAAAGCAAACTGCGTTTGTTTATCAACACAAGCCTGAAGCCCTTTGACATCGGTCCTTAACACCACTAAAACTTTCTACTTTCTCTTAAAAAAAGAATTTCCTCTGTTTTACATCGGGTGAACATTCCTTAATTGGTTGCAGAAAATTTCTGCTGCAGTCCTTTGTATTGTTCATATTTCTCAGATCAGTCATAACAGTGGGAAAAAATTGTAACATGAATATCTGATCTCACAGTAAACCAAAGTCTTCCCTGGACTTTATCTACAGGTCTTGATCTGATTTGTTTGTTTTGCAGAATTCCAACAGCACCCTTATCAAAATCAGGATTAATCAGGCAGAGGCAGCGATGCATTGATTCCCAAAAGACTGGAGGAGAGGATGCCCCTACTTTAAACCTGGTACCTTGTAGCAGCCTTAAAGGGGTGCCCGAAAAATCTCAGGTATTGTGTTTACTTAAATTAGGAAGAAAGCAGTTCTGTTATCAATGATTGAACCCTTAATCAAAATGCAGCTGGTGTCTTAGACTTCTTGGGGGCTACTCCAGGCTCAGCCCATCCCTGAGTAGGTTTTCAGTACCAGAAGCTTACTCTACCACTTCCCTCAGCAGGTCTTTAACACCAGGAGCTTATTCTAGCACCTCCCTGACCAGGTCTTTAGCATTTGGAGCTTATTCTACCACCTCTCTGACTAGGTCTTCACCACCAAGAGCTTATTCTACCTCCTCCCTGAACAGGTCTTCACCACCAGGAGCTTACTCTACCACCTCCCTGAGCAGGTCTTTAACACCAGTAGCTTATTCTAGCACATCCCTGACCAGGTCCACCAGGAACTTTTTTCTACCACCTCCCTGACCAGGTCTCCAGCACCTGGAGCTTATTCTACCACCTCCCTGACCAGGTCTCCAGCACCTGGAGCTTATTCTACCACCTCCCTGACCAGGTCTTCAGCACCAGGATCTTATTCTACCACCTCTCTGAGCAGGTCTTCAACACCAGAAGCTTATTCTATCACCACCCTGACCAGGTCTTCAGCACCAGGAGTTTATTCTAACACTTCCCTGACCAGGTCTACAGCACCAGGAGCTTATTCTACCACCTCCCTGACCAGGTCTACAGCACCAGAAGCTTATTCGACCACCACCCTGACCAAGTCTTCAGCACCAAGAATTTATTGTTACACTTCCCTGACCAGGTCTTCAGCACCCAGAACTTATTTTAGCTCCAAATTTGAAGGGCAAGCAAATACAGGAGTAAAATATATAATATCATGGTTGGTTTAGGTCCCCAGGAGCCCAAAATCCTTCATGTGAATAAAAACTGTTAAAGGTAAAATAATAGAAAATACCTTTTTAAAGCTTATAGTAAAAAAATGAGCAGGTTGTTTTTTAAAACAATCTACCATATAAATACAGTTCATGTCCTTAAAACAATGTAATATGATTTAGGTGTCTTTCCCAGCCTCTTTTTCCATGCTCGCCTCCGGGACTTCACTAGAGTCTCTCCCATCCTCTGGAACTCTTTACCCCAACCTGTCCGTCTGTCTCCCACTTTGACGGCCTCTAGGCGACCCCTTAAGACTCACCTCTTCAGGGAAGCCTATCCCACCTCAACCTAACCGCTCAACCATCACGTTCTCAGACAATTCATCCCCACACAGCTACCTCCTTCCCTTCTCCTTTTAGATATTAAGCCTTTAGGGGCAGGGCCCTCCGCACCATCTTGTCTTGAATTGTATTGTGGCTGTAATGTCTTCCTTATATTGTAAAGCGCTGCGCAAACTGTTGGCGCTATATAAATCCCGTATAATAATAATAGGCCAATTTGTAATAGAGGTATTGCTAAGTTAATGGAAGCACACTGACTCCATTAAATTTGCTCTGGGCATTGCTGGTTCAGTTGTAAAAAGGCATTAGTGGTTCATCTCGGGTACAGATTGGGCAGCTTTTGTACTTTGTTGAAAATGTAACCATTGCTATAAAGCCGTACATTGCTGGATAGACAAACAGTCCAGATATAGAAGAAATATTGTGTCTTTAAACTGACCGAGAAAATGCTGATTCTGCTTTATTCCCCCAAAACCTTTGCATCATGTACTGCTGAGTTAAGGAAGAATTATAAGGTATTCTTATCAAAAGTGTTGTGCTGAATCTCCTGCCTGACACATAAAGTGAATCCGCAGCCCAGCCTGACCTCCAATTATATCATAAAATGGGAAATACATTGTGTCAGCGCTACATCCGCTATTTACTAACCTACATCAGACGGGCTTGTTACTGCCATACGTTTAATTCCAGTTTCCCATTACTCGCGGCTGCAGATGAACAGATTGCCTGGCTCGTCTGAGATGCGAGCGTGAGGTCAGCCGCAAGCAGACGCAGAGCGGTTCAATAAATGTTTATTGCCCTGTACGCGTCTGATGGATCTGCTGCGATGTCACTATTTGATGAACGCTGTATCTGCTCTGCTACAACGTAACACCCAAGTGCTGGCAGACAGATACCCTGCCCAGACCATTAACTTTAAAATGAACTCTGGGAAATCTGGCTTTTGAAATGAGTTGTTTCTGGTCTGGTTTAGGACTAGAAAGACTTCAGCTGCAGCGTTAGTATAGACACACAGAACAACAGGGTCACCCTGCAGCTTTTGTATTTGTGGGTAGTTTAGCACAGAGTGTTAGTGGCAATGCCTCCACCACAACTGTCAACACAGACCTGGCCAGAAGGAGGGTGTGGCAGTCAGAATTTTAAGTGGGCTTGGGTGAATTGGATTCAAACCAAGTCTAGTCTCAGGTTTAGGTATAAGCAAGGGCAGACATGGGCCCCTGTGGGTTATGGGGGCACATTAAGGCCCCATTCACACTGAGCGACATGGGTATTGTGCGTTTTGCCTCGCAATTTCGTGCTTCATGTTCGGCTTTGAGCTACATTGCGCGATATTGAGCGACAATGCACATTTTATCGCGCTACATAGCGCGTTTTGTGGGTGGGACTTTGTCGCTGCTACATTGGGCTGTAACCAATCAACAGCCATCTTGATGTGACATCATTCTTTCCTTACATTGTGCAGTGCAAAAGTAGCGCAATATCACCCGTAATGCGCAACTTTGCACGACACCATAGAATCTATTGAAGTCGAATCGCGCGTCATCTGCGCAAAAAAGGGTAATATACGAGCGACAAGCTACAGCGACGAGCTACAGGCGACATTGAGCTGTGAGATGTGAACAGCTCCATTGAAATGCATTGGACAACGTACATAGAGCGACATTGCGGCAGAAATCGCGCGATAAACCGCTCAGTGTGAATGGGGTGTTATACTTGATGTGGGTCAGATGGGCGCTGAGTGCCCTCCCCACTGTCACAAGAACTTGGACACTGTCAATCTATACACAGTAAATAAGTGTTTGTGTTTTTACTCGGCCAGTTGAATAGGGGGAACAAGAATCGGCATCTCACAGGGGCCCCCTTGGTAACTCTGACGCCACTGGCTACAAGAATACCGATGTGAACGCGGTATTGGATAATGAGACCTCTTTATTTTTCCTGAGTGTATTTCAGTGGACAGCTTCTCATTTCATTCCCTTTGCACGGATGTAAATGTGAGCTGAAGTAACACGTACTGTGCGGAGATATCAGTGTGAAGAATTCATTTCAGTAAATGCTCCTTCATTGGCCATTTATCACAGTCGTTCCCGGGAAAGCTGTCACATTTGTAAGATAGCAGAAGCCGTTGTAAAACCTGAGCTGACAAAGCGGCGAATAAAACGTTCCAGAATCCTCACACGGGAAAATGAGTCGCAATCCGGGGAGGGAGAACTCACACAGCACCATTGTCGCATGGAAAAGATATTTTGAGCTTCATAAATGGAAAGAACATTCCAAATTAAAGTTTATGACAAGCCTATGCTTGGCTCGTTTGGGTAAAGGATCAGCATTGTTTAATAATCCCCCTGCCCCCCCGGAGCACATCATTTCCTTCACTCCCCCTCTGCGGCAGTTTAGCGACAGAAGGTCATGTGACTCACTTCATGTGACTTTGATTGTGTCAGTGGCGCCATCCACCATTCTAATGATTGGCTGTCACACAGGGAGCCCATAGCCTATTGTAAGCTATGACTCAGAGTTGCACAGGGCTCTCCTTTTACTCCTGACAGTTAAACGCAATTGCGTGGGAGCAAAGGAGGGCATGTGCGGCTAGGGAGGTCTGCATCACAGTAACATTTTTACTTTGTTCATGGGCAAAGTTTACGTTCTCATTAAAGATTTGTATGATGAAGATTATCTATGGATCCCGTATGATTAAATCACAAAACAGGCTGCACAGAATTCTAAATATATTGCATTTTACATAAACAGTGCGTATTAACTATGCAGCATGGCTGAAGCTTCTCTTAAAACAGATCTAGTTTTGTTCGAAACCCCATCCCCCGCCCCCTTCCCAACACACACAATTATACACATATTACTACTTTTCAGGGGTTTTCTGGCTGATCTGATGAACTTACGACTCCTTCCTCTTCTCCCGCAGGGGTGGCAGTGGGTGGTTCTTAATGCTGCTCTATACGGTGTTAATGAAATGATGTGCGAGTGCCTTTCAGTACTGCTTGACAACACTGTGCCAAAGGGTCGGTCCATGACGCCTTGTTCACAGAGGAAATGGGTTGAATGGAGGTGGCCATCATTCAGCTCTGAAGACTGGCATTATCTAGTGGCAGAAAAAAATCATGATGGGGTACAGCTCTGGATTGAGACTATTTCAGCAAGAGCTGCTTTTTTGTTCTTTTTACATAGTTAGTCAGGTTGAAAAAAGACATCAAGTTCAACCTAGAACTTTAAAAGCTGTTTTTTGCCTTTGGTTCTGTTTTTAGAATTCCACTGAGCTGAAAATCCATCTTCTCACCCCCTCCATTTAATACATTGACATTTTAGCTTTAATTAAAATACACTTCAATCTACCATGTGACATAAGTAATTCTCCTTGACTCACAAATCAATTAGAAAAATAGCTCGGCAATTAAAGGTGGCATAATAATATCGATCCCTGGGAGATGAAATTCAATAAGCTTTCAAATGACACAATTTACTTATTCCTAATGGCATTAGACGTGCATGCAGCTGTTTGGTGAACGTCTTTCTGGGCTTAATGTTTGGTGTTACTCCTTCTGTGTTAATTTCATGAAAATAAAGAGGGGTTTGGTCCAATATAACCCAGGCAAAACTTATTTCAGTGGAAATAGGCACTCAGGAGGGTATTTACCCTTTGCTCTACATTGCCAGCATGCTTGTTCCAGGATAGTACCTCATTAGGTAGTAGTAGTGACACCAGGATGACAGCTTCAGAGCTTGCAAGACCAAGACAGTAACATAAGCTCTCATATTTGCATGCTGACAGGTTCCCTTTACAGTAATGCTAAAATGTTCTTAGAGAACCAGGGGGCAGAAAAATCAGCTTGAAAGTTTACTGTGGAGCTCCATGTCCTGACTGGTCTAGGAGTAATGTTTGTTTATTTAAATACTGGGCCTTTGCAATGCTAATTAGCAAACAATAAATAGTACCACATATCAAGATACCAATCTAACTTGATGTCCCAGTAGTCAGAAACTACTGCTGTAAGTATTACTACAACACGAGCTTTAGTTAAAAAAAAAATCAAAATCTTCTGATTAATGGTAAGCCCATCCACAAACTTTATGAAACAAAAAAAATAGCTAAAGTTATTGTCGTAGGACCTCTCCCCGGTGCTGAATCCACCGACAGAAGCTTCCCATGGCGCTGAAACTGGTGACATGAACTCTCCGTGGTGCTGAATCTTCATACAAGAGCACCCTATAGTACTGAATCTGGTTACATGAGTCGTCCATGGTGGTGAATCTGCCCACTGGAGCTGTCCATGGTGCTAAATTTGGCCATAGGATTTCTCCACGGTGCTGAATCCACCGACAGAAGCTTCCCATGGTGCTGAAACTGGTGACATAAACTCTCCATGGTGCTGAATCGTCATACAAGAGCACCCTATAGTACTGAATCTGGTTACATGAGCTGTCCATGGTGCTGAAGCTGCCCGTCGAAGCTGTCCATGGTGCTAAATTTCCCCGTAGGATTTCTCCATGGTGCTAAATCAGCATACAAGACCTCCCTGTGGTGGCGAATCTGCATACAAGAGCTCCCTATTGTGCTGTATCTGCCCGCAGGAGCTGTCCATAGTGGCAAATCTGTCCATAGGATTTCTTTAGGATGCAGAATCTGTCCATAGAAGCTCTCCATGGTGCTGAATCCACCCACAAGATTTCTCCACGGTGCTAAATCTGCACACAAGAGCTTCATTTGGTGCTGAATCTTTTCATACGACCTGCATACGACCGGTCTCCATGATAATTATGAGTCCTCCCTGGTACTGAATTTGTCAACAGGAGGTCCTCATAGTGCTGAATTTGCCCACAAAGGCTCTCCGTGGTGCTGAATCTGCCCATGCGGGCTTCAATGGTGTTGAATCTGCCTGTTTTAGCGGCTGATGATAATAATGATAATAACAACAGACGAATAACATATTCTGTGTGTGTATTTTGCAGGAATGGATTTACACTCAGGTTCAGCAGATAAGCCAGCAGGGTCTGTGTCTGTCCGTGCACACCTTGTTTCCAGGGACACAGGTGGTCCTCTTGCCCTGCAAAGAAGGAGATGGGAAGCAGGTAATTTGTATATCTTTACCACATCAAATTATTTTGTCTCTAAATATAATCTGTCACTTTTCTTATTCAATAAAACATTCATCCATCACCTCACACCTCCATCCAAAACAAAACAAAAAAAGTTATGCTTTTTACACTGCTAATCCCAGGCCATGTAATACAGATAGCCACAAGGAGGTGTATAAACACATCTGTGTGTAAAAATATAATAATCAGAAGACAACTGGTTAAATATCTCAGTAGCAAAGAGATGAATTGCCTGTGTAGCTCTAACCCAAATCAGACAAATCAGTAATCCAATTTCACTGCCTGAATCCCAGAATTGGATTATTCTCCACAGAGAGGAGAGATCTGTGTGCAGATATTCTAATCAGTGATTTATTTTTACAAATGATGATACAAATACTATTTTAAATTAGAATGGCTTAATTTGCTAAAGTAATGTGTATCATAAACAATTCCTGTTTTTTTAAATAAATATTTGTTTTGACCTTTGTTCATCTTTTGGTGTGTGCTGTTGATTTCCGGCAGCCACTTTTGCAGCCACTTTCTGCCTACATGCGCTCCAGAGATGGTTGCATGGCATTTGTAGGAGCGGGTCTTTCAACGGTGACAACAGTGAACCATATCTGCCAATGTGTGTTAAAATGGCCACTTGTAGTCTCCATTGATTTTAATGCGTGTCAAGGTTGGCAGAGCTGGAGCACAATTGGGAGACAGTGACAGAGCGTTGTCACTCTATACCAGGAATTGTCTGGACAAAGACTTTCATGGCAGGTTCACCGGGTGATATTGTAATGAAGAATACAGAAAAAAAAGCACACAAGATGGGTGAAAAGATGTCATGGAATAAAAACAAACTAAATGGATATAAAAAAATTACTCCCAATTGTAGAGGGAAAATGGTGCTCATAGATCTTCCAAAAGGAAGATGACAGTTCTAGTCAATGGGTCGCAGGCCCAGAGATTTCTTTCCCAGAATGATGATAGTTGCTGAGGTAGTTCAGTCAAATTGTGCAGCTTTTGCACTTCAAAGGGCATAACGATATTTCTCATAATAGAATGCTGGTTGGGCATGGGGACACAAGGGGTGCACCAAGGGGACCAGGGTCCACAGTGCATTAAACCTGATAGACTTCATTGAGGAAACAGATTAAAATCAATCACAGAAGACAACTTGCAGTACTGTATAAAGGGAGATCTCGTTGCTGATCTGCGACCTCTGAAGATGCAATCTCTGCTTCCCGAGGCTATCCAAGGTAACACATTTTGAGGACTCAATCCTCCATATTACTCCTCTTCCGACAGTTCCATCCACGTCTCCTCTCTCTTGAGGAAAACAGGGACACCGGCACTCCAATGTACGCATGAAATAAAGATGCATCTTTGTGACATGTCGTATTTCTTCAATAAATAAGACTTTATTTCATGCTTACATTGGAGTGCCGGTATCCCTGTTTTCTGCTGTTATATGACGGTTGCCATCCGTCGATCACCGAAGCACCTGATTTGATTTTCCTTGGAGACAAGCGGTCAGGAGTGTGATGGGTTCATGGATCTAGTCCTCTCTCCTGAGAACACATTGACAGAACTGACAGCAGAGGAGTAAGTAGGACAACAGGGGGGTTCTTGTTGCTGATCTGCGACCACTTAGGCTGTAATATCTGCTTCTGGGTGGTCTGTGTATCCAAGGCAATGGGCTTTTGTTTTTTTTAACTTCAGATTTTTATTAACCCCTGCATGACTGAGGCCTTTTTTTCATTTTTTGCACCCATGTTATATTCCACATTTTAGGCCTGAAAATGACCTAAAACCCCCAAACATTATATATTATATAATATATTATATA